CCATGGAAATGGTGTGGAATTTGCACAATCTGTCAGCATAGAACATGATTTCCAGAGTCAGTGTTGTTTGTGTGATGTCTGTGAAGTATAGATTCAGTGGTTGGTGAGTGGCATTCCAGTGTCTAGGCTGTCATGAAGCTGCACCAAGAGTTTAATGTTGTCTTTCTCTGTGATTGTCTTGTGATTTTTGTTCTTTTCTCCCACCACTTTTTTTTTATTATTATTATTTTTAATTTTTTTTTATTCTTCTGATTGGAATTAATGCAGGATTTTTGCAGGAGCTTTCACTTTTTGGTACTGCAGTAGACCTAGTTATTCACTGAAGTATGAGCCAGTAGTTCCAGTGTTTCCAGTTCCTAGTGTCTCCCTGTAAATGTGGAGTTGTTTGTTTCAGGAGAGCTTTGGTTCCTGAAGGTGCACTTCTTCACAGGAGCTAACTCAGCTGCAGAGTGACACTGGAAGGTGTGACTGGTGTACCCAAAAAATAGATCACAAGACATTGAAGTAGGACAGTTCAGGACACTGGAAAACTTGGAACAGGGTATAGTAGCATTGCCCTAACCTAAGGTATTCCATGGAAATTTTACACAGGTATGTAAAAATTGCACTGTGTAACTCGGACCATTTCTGTGAGAAGTATTATTTTGCTTCTATAAAAAAAAAATCCCAGAGTGACTGTTGTAGGTGGGGACCTGCAAAGCTGTCAGGGAACAGAGTATCTGGATTGCTCCATATTCTTTAATTTCATTGTGTCTGGGAGAAATCAGGCCTTTTCCTGCCTGTGCCCACCATTCCCTCCGTTCACCAAAATCCAGACCCCTCCACTCCTCTCAGCTTCAGTGTGAAATGTAGGTTAAGAAATATTCTGAAAAACATTAGCAGGAGAACCTAACTTTATACTGTAAGGACCAGTAAGGAGTAAGAACAGATTCTTAACGTCACAAAATATTTCAGAGCTTCCAAGGTTAAAATGTGTCAGAGACAGTTATTTGCACATTTTATATACTCTTGATAATACATGAAGAACATAGCAAAAGTGGGTTGTAAGTCTTGAGCAAATGAAAGTAATCTTAAGGTTACTTTAATTTTGGTAACTGAGTCACACTGCATGTGAAATTAGGGCTGGTCTAAAATTCTGATATTAATTTAACAAAGAGCTGTTAGGAGAATTTGTAGCTGAAATGTCTTCATCAAAAGTGGATTTCGGTAGCTCTACTATAAAGCTATATATGAACCAGTGTTGGAGTTTTTCAGCAGAAGTGAGCTGTGGCTGCCAGTCTAATTAAACTAGTACAAAATCCATTTAGATTAGCCCTTATTTACTTGAAAAAAAAACCTAACCCAACCCCATCCTTGCCACTGTCATGCAGTTTTGTCTTCCTGTTAAGATTTGGTGAAGCAGGTTGGATTGTAGCTTGCACAAGTTGCTCCATCATCACTGCCCTGTTTGAGATGCTTCCACAGAACATCCTTGGGTGCTGTGTGTCCTGAGAGCAGCTCCTGAGCCTGGGAGTCACTGCCCACGTCACCATGTCAAACTGCCATGTGTCAGGGAGTAACACCTTCTTACAGTAGCTTTATGTAACTCTGCTAAATACCTGGATTCTTGGTTTGCTCCAAAAGGAATTATTCTGACCAGTTTCTGTGCCCTGAAAGTTTCTGCTACTTTTTTGCTGTGTGGGCCTTGTTACAGTAACAGGATAATGGGTAAATACTGACACACACAATCTTCTGCTCTTGTCTAGACTATGAAGCAATACAATTATTACCTTCAAAGACCATCAAACTGTAAAACAAATCATTGTGTCTCAAGTTTACATAAAGCTACATAGACGGTAAATCTTTCCTAACATTTCTTTATTCCACTGTCTTGTGTTTTCATGTTGAAAATACTTCTGCTTTTTCCTCTTGAGTGCCAACTTCTTACTAGAATGACTTCTTAATGTAATATGTTTACCTGGAATGTATTTTAACTATTTTTGTATAGTGTAAACTGAAACATGCACATTTTGTACATTGTGCTTTATTTGATGTGGAACATATGCAGTGTGATCCAGTTTTTCCATAATTTGGTTGTGTGACCTAGGAATGTTGGTCATGCCAGACATTAAGTTAAAAAAGGAAAAAAAAAAAGACCACTGTTTGTTTTAAAATTTTTAATGTTTTTAGGAGTATGTGCTGTGAGGTGATCTGGAATTTGTCATTTTTTTGTCAAACTGTACTGCTCCTATTTATTGTAATGTAATAAAAAATAGTTATTGTGAATGTCTGTCCCAGCTTCCTTTTCTTGTGCAAGAATTTCAGGTAACAGGGCATCCCACAAATTCCATGTGCTTGGCAGTTGTTCTCCATTCTGTCTTGTACTTCTGCTGGTGCTGCCTGTCCCAGAGCTGCTGTCCTTGCCCCCCTTGGTGTCCCTGTCTCTGAGAGGGGTGGCTGCTCAGAGCAGGTAGAAGTGCAGAGAAGCTCAGTTGATGTTGAAGGAGTTTTTCACATCAGTGTGGTGGCAGAAACTGGAGCATGTGCGTTTCATCACAAGCTACTGTAATCTGCCATCACTTCTTAAATTCTGTCCTAGAATTCTGTGAGGATGCTGCTGCATTCCCTGCTCCCTCCTCAGGCAGCTGTAATCTCAGAAATGCTCATTCAGCACCTGGGCTGAGGTTGTCTGGAGCTCTTCAGGAACAGTTTCCAGGAATTGGTGCTGTCTGAAGAGCTCCTGCTTTGTAACCAACAGCTTTGGAAACTTATTTTGCCTGCCCGAAGAACACCCTTAGTGGAACAGCGTTTTTGCTTTTGAAATTCCAAAGGACGTTACTGACCTGGATTGTGGTCAGGATGGAAAACTGCTGTGGTTTTACATAATCACACATACATACATAATAGTATGTATACATACATACATAAACCCACCTCTCTTGTGACCCTATAAAGAGTGGGCCTGAGTGAGGCCCTCAGAGCTCTCCTGGACAGCAGTGACCAGAAATCTCCCTCTGTGTGGCACCTCAGAGCCACTGAACTCCTGTTTACTGTATTTGGAGGACCAGCAGTGACAACAGAGCATGGAATGATGATGCCGCCTTTCCTTGAGGCTCAACCCTTCAGCCACTGACAAGATGCAAAGGTATCCAACCTAAGTGCTTCAGTGAATTCCAGGGGAATTGTATACCTTGTACATACTCCTTCAGGACTGTTTGTGTGGATATGCTATAGAAAAATGTACAATGGATAGTGCTCTCAGAGATTCTAAGTACTGTAGATCTGCAAGTAACTCAGGCCTACAAGTGAGTTGCTATTGTGCATATGAGAAATTCTGTATGTTTTAAATTAAACTATGGACTAAGTGCTGTTAAAGCTTCAGGCATAAACCACTGGTCAGATCTGGGGTTCAGTTTTGGATGGGGGTCCACTCTGAACTTTGTGATTCAACAGGAGCATCTCCCTTATTCCTTTATTCCTCTGATCCATACCCTTTTCCATCCTTACCCTTTTTTATATCCTCAGCATCCTCAGAGATACATTTTGGTTGATTTTGGTTTTAGATCAATAGATTGTAGATTCTAGTTTGCTTTTTCTTTGGGCTTTAACTATCTAGTAAATAGTGGAGTGAACCTTGTTGAATGGACTTTGTCACACTTTTGCTTTTATATTAAATCTGGTTTTGCTGATGCCTTTGCTGGCAATTCTTTGAGTGATCTTAAAACACTCCTTATTGCCAGTGTGAAGACTTGCTGCTGCCAACAGCTCTACTGCAGTGATTCCTTACCTATATTTCAAAGACTATTTCTCTCTCCAATGTCATTTAGTTGGTGGAAACACCAACCAACACAACAGTATCAGCTCTGACACAATTGTGAGTCAAGCCAAGGCCAACAGAGACAGCCTGGAGCAAACAGCTATGGCCAAACTTCTCTTCCAGGGGCAAAGATCAAGTTTTCTATTCCTGCTGCAGCAATTACACAACAGCAGAAATCAGCAGTAGCAGGAACTGTCTTCAGGGCCCAAGTGCTTAAAGCACTATTGTTCAAATGCTCCCTTTCCTAACCCCGCAGTTGTCTCCCTGACACAGCAAGGTGGTGCAAGTTCAGCAGATGAGGCTAAAAGCTTCAAGAATTTACTTTCACAGAACAGTCAGGGTTGGAAGGGACCTAGAGAGCATTTAATCCAACCCCTCTACCCAGGCAGGTTCACCTGGAGCAGGTGACACAGGAGCGTGTCCAGGTGAGTTTGGAATGTCTCCAGAGATGGAGGCTCCAGGCCCTCCCTGGGCAGCTGTTCCGGGGCTCTGCCACCCTCAGTGTACAGAAATTCTTCCTCATGCTGAGGTGGAACTTCTTGCATTATGTTTACTGCCATTGCTCCTTGTCCTGTTGCTGGGCACCACTGAAAAGAGGCTGGCACTGTCCTCTTGGCACCCACCCTTGAGATATTTATACGCATTGATGAGATCCCTTCTCAGTCTTCTCTTCTCTGGACTAAACAGGCCCAGTTCCTGCAGTCCCTCCTCATAAGAGATGCTCAAGACCCCTCATGTTTATGGCCTCTGCTTGATCCTCTCCAGTAGCTCCTTGTCTTTCCTTGAACTGAGGAGACAAGAACTGAGCACAGCACTCCCTCTCCAGGGCTGGGAACTTCACTTTTGAGAGGGTGCTCATTTCCAGGGGAAATGGATCATTCAATGTCGAGGATTTTTCAAATCAGGTTCATCTTTTAGGTAACAAAGCATAGCACCTTGAACTGACAGCGAAACACACAGGTATGGGGTAAGAAGAGTTTCTGTTCAACACATACATTGAAGTGAAACAGAACAGGGCTGTGCAACCACTCCTTCCTGCAACATTGTTTCATACCTGAAGTTTTGGTTGAGGAGGTCAAAAGCAGCAGAGGAAAACCTATTACTCATAACCTGCACACCCCAAACCCTTCAAGTGACTCCTGGCAGGGAAGCAGCTCCCCGATTTGGGTCCTAGAGGACCAGGAAGGATTTACATTTCACTTCTTTTGCAGTTAGAGCTCTTTTATTGTTACCTTTCCTGGGTGTGTGATTACAGGCAGAGTCAGGGCTTGTCATCACTGTAGTAGCGCTGCTTCATGGCTCGGTATTTCCTCAGGAAGTACAAAGCCTCCAGCTCCTTTATAACAAATTCTCCCCGGGCAATCAGTTGCTTAATTTTTTCAGGGTCTGTCTCATCTTTGTTTTTTAGAAAAGCTGCTTTCAAACGGCTTCTGAAGTAGTCTGCTCCTTTGGGATACTCTCTTCCAAGGTACAGCAGCTTAAAGAGAAAAGAATAATGTGTTTTTAATTAACTGAGTGCACACTGAGAGGGGGTTAATTTTCTGGTTAAGTGCTGGTGGCATTTAAGACACTTACATTTTTGTACAGTTTTATCACTTCACTTCTTAAAGAATTGGCCATTCTCACATTTCAATGAACTCTCCTTGTGTGACTTTTTGGGTTGTTTGGGCTTTGTTACCTGAAGGATAATCAATTTGAAATTAGCCTTCTCTGGAAGTCAGTAAACCACCTCGGCCTTCCTAAAACTTCTGTATCCTACTGAGCCCCATTCACTCTAATTCTGGTTCTATTCTGTCTCTTTTTTTTCTTTCTTCCTTTTTATTATATTTAGCTTTTCATTGTCTTTTCCCCTCCACCCTCAAACAGAAAATAAGAAACTTCTAAATAATTTTCAACAGCTGCAACACTCTGTGCTGTTCATTGACTGCTTTCTCACACCCTTAAAATTCTGTACCAGCTGGCCTAGCTGCTTCTATTGTCTGCTAAAAAACTGTATCTTCATATATATACATATAAAGTGGTAAAGATATATAAATAGAATACATTGTTATGTGTTTTATATGTTCATATAGCAACGTTTATAATACCATATTTTCATGCATTTATTTTTATCTCCATATATATTTATGTATTACAAATTGCTGTATTATATATATATATATATAAACTTTATACATATCCATGTATATTCCTGCAACTGTCGCATTCATAAATTTTACTTTTTGAAGGACTCTTGAACTCTTTAAGTGCATTACAAATTGAGTCCAGCGTGCACCGGCAAAACCTAAGGAAAAGTGACAAAGTAACCGATTTTTAGTTCTGTAAGCACAAAATTACAGAATGGCCTGGCTTGGAAAGGACCTTAAAGATGATCTCGTCCCAAACCCTGCCGTGGGCAGGGACACCTTCCACTATCCCAGCTTGCCCAGAGCCCTGTCCAGCCTGGCCTTGGACGCTGCGCAGCCAAAACCAAATCACAAGCGACCGGAATCCAATCCAGCTCCCGCTGCGGGGCTCCTCGGGCCGCCACCTCGCCCTGGCTCTGCCTGCCGCCCCGCTCCCCCGGAGCCATCCCCGCTTCCCCGCGGGTCCCGGCAAGGCCGCACCGGGACCTCACCCGCTGCTCCCGGAGCCGCCGCGGCGCCGCTTTCCGGCAGCGCCGGGAGCGCGTCCGGCCCGAGCCGCGCCTGCGCCGGGGCCTGGCGGGCTCGGCGGCCTGAGGGGCAGCGCCGCCGCTGCGGGACATGGTGCGGCGGGGAGGGGGCTGCGGGCGGGATACATGCCGGACAGGGGAAGGGTGAGGGGGTGGAGGAAAGCGGGGTGTTCCTCGTTAGCTACCGGAGTCCCGGGAGGTGGAATAAAGGCTTTAATCTCAATGTAGCACCTGAAGGACGCGTTATCTTTTGTAAGCCCCGGCGTTAAGTCCTTGTGCGGTGGTTTTGCTGCTGTGGTTGCTCCGTGTGGAAGCAGCCGGGAGGTGGCTCTGACTTCGTTGTCAGAATGGGTCTGTGGTAACAAAGTTCATTCCGAGAGTCGTGTGTGAGTGGCTAATTTTCTGCAGTATTGAAATTACTGTCATTAGAGTTTTTCAATAGCTGATCGCGTCCAATTTTAACAGAATAATTGTGTATTTCTAATTGTTCCTTTCAGGCTGATATGTTGTTGACTGATGTTCCCTTTCCTTTTTTTTCCCCTTCTAATCTTTTAGGGTCCAAAAAAAAAGGTAGGTAGACAGAAACACACCGTTCACTGTTGTGTTTATTTTTTTAATCTGATTTTTTTTTATTTTTCCTGAGGCAACTGGCCAGGGTTAATTGAATCTGAAGGAGGAAGAGGCGTCTCCAGGACACCGAGCTTTTGTGCTCTTTGCAAGGAGGCCAAATGTTCCTGTAGCGCTGCTGGAGAGAGCGTGGCCAGTGCAGCTTGTTTGGCTTGGCAACAGGTGTCCAGGCAAAGCGGCCGTGTTCTGGCTCTGTCCCAGCCACGGGGTGGCCAGCAGGACCAGGGCAGTCACTGTGCCCCTGTCGCGGGCACTGGTGAGGCCTCACCTCCAGTGCTGTGTCCAGCTGTGGGCCTGTCACTGCAAGATGGACATTGAGGGGCTGGAGCATGTCCAGAGAAGGGAGCAGAGGTGGACAAGGGGCTGGAGCATCAGTAGCAGCTGAGGGGTCTCAGCCTGCAGAAAACGAGGCTCAGGGGGGACCTTCTGGCTCTCCACAATTCCCTGACAGGAGAGGGCAGCCAGGGTGGGTTGGGCTCTGCTCCCAGGGAGCAAGGGGCAGGACAAGAGTGAATGGTCTCAAACTGTGCCAGGTGAAGCTTAGGTTGGACGTCAGCAGGAATTTCATCATTAAAGGTTTGTCAAGTACTGGAAGGGGCTGCCCAGGGAGGTCTGGAGTCCCCATCCCTGGAGGTGCCCAGGGAATGACTGGACGTGGCACTCAGTGCTCTGGGCTGGGTGACAAGACAGGGATTGGGCCCAGCTTGGACTTGATGATCTTGGAGGTCTTTTCCAACCTGAGTGTTTCTGGGACTCTGTTATCTGAGCCATAGGCTGAACACAGAATTGGGAGGGGTGAAGGGACAACAGGCAGAAGTCTGTGGGAAACTGGGTTGCATATATTTATCTTTTGGGTTATTCTTAATTCTGTGATAACTAATTTATCTACCCCTCCCCAGCTGTGCATCACTCTTCTCAGTGCTCTGTTAAGTCATTGGAATGTGAAAATAAGTTGACTAAAACGTGATTGCAAGTAGTTGAAACAAGCAGATTTTCCATTTCCAGTTTAATTATTTATTTATCAAAGCGAAAAGAACAAATTCTTTCTTGAAATCCTAATGGGTAGAAGTGTGAATTTTACTGACTGTATTTTGGAATAATTTTGCAAATGAATGCTTTGGTAACAAATCCAAGAAGATGCACTCAGACTCTGGAGACACGTAATTGTCACCATTGTATTTGTCCCAGCTTCATGGCAATCTCTGTACTCAGAGTTGCATTCATATATATATATATTTATGCCAATAGATTTATTGCCATGCCAAGTAGTGTGACCAAGTAGTTATTTATATCTGAATGTGTGATAGTCAGAATCAAAGTGTGAAATAAGTGTGTGTGAAGAAGGACCAGTAGTCAGATAATTTCTGAGAACCACAAATTTAAAATATAGTTATTCTAGAATTATGGTGGAGGTGAACAATGAACTGTCGGGAGTTGCAGTGAGATTTTATAACAGAAAAGAGAACTCTTTGCTATTTTGTCTTGTGAATTAGATGCTTCTAAATGCCAGGCTTGTCCCAAAATACATTTTCAAGTATTTCCTAAAATATTTAAAATTGTAGCATCTACTTTCTTAGCAGATTTGCCTGTTATTCAATTTCTACATTAAACCAAAAGATTTTAATAGTCTTGTGTTGTGGCTGTGCTTGGGAATGTCTAGCACAGAAAAATACATTAATTGTAAGATCTTGTCATAAAAAAGAGAAGAAAATTGAGTCCAGAATGTGCATTACTGTTCTGGGAGCTTCTTTGGCTGTCTAGGGAGTCTAAAATCTTAATTGAGGGATCACATTGAAGGGCAAAGTTACAGAGTTTTGGAACTGCCAAATTGTATTAAAATAACACTGACATTTGTTTTCTTCTCCCTTACTGCAAACATGAAGTCCAATGGCAAAAGTAAAAAATCGAAGAAAGAAGCAAAGCTGAGAGGTACTGTGCACTTCATTTAGAGGGGATATGATGGACAAATCGTTTATTTTAAATGAACAGGCAGAAAGTAACGTCGTGAAATAGATGTGAATTGCTGTCTCTTTCACAAATACAAATGATTCCTTCCTCTTTTCTTGTGTGGGCCAAATTCCCTCTTCCTTGGTGCTGCATCTCATTTCCCTGTCAGAGCAATACTCTCTTCTCTAGTTGTTCCTACTGCAATTAGGAAGTTGGGAAGAATTAACTTACTGTTAATCCATCCCGGTGGGAGTTTGGGCATGCTGTGACTGCCAGTGACTGCTAATCACTGGTAAGCTTTTGTGGTGGGAGTGGCAGCTCAGGTGGGCCCAGGCCTATTTGGGAACTGCTGCTACTCTTGCCTCAGTGCAGCACACAGCCTTGGTATGATTTACTTGGAAGTGATGACATCAAGTCACTGTTTGGGAACATCTGGATTGAGGCACAGGCTGTGCCATCTTAGACTGAAGGTGTAGAGGTTGAATCAGTTCTAGTTTTCACATCCTCTCTAATTTTCTAGACCCTATGGCAGCAAAGAGAAGCCAGAACTGTGGAGTAGCAGATCCTGAAGAGGATTTCAGTGAACGAACAGATGTAAAATTTAAATTGTAGGAAACCAGCGGTTGTAGTAAAGAAGAAGAGGAGTTTGGGATTCAAGCACCGAATTTCACTTGAGCCTTTGGATTGAGAACCTGTGTCCATTGAAGCTGCAGATGGAGAGAGCAGTCCTGTTTCCACTTTTATCCTCACAGACTGAGGGGGCAGTACCAGAAACAGTGTGTTTTAGAAGTATTCAAATTAATTTGGATCAATCTTCATATGGGAGATTTCTGTGCAGTGAAAGATAAACATTTATGTTGCTCATTTTATAGTGGTTTTATCATTACAGCTGGTAACCAAATAATTTTTTAGATTTCATTTAGGAAAGCATAGTTATGCCCTTCATCTCTTTCCCAATCCTCAGCTGAAGCCCAGTTAAGAGCTGAACAAGAAGAAGCAGAAAGACTTGAAAGGGAGAGACTATATCAAGAGCACTTGGAAAAGCTTGAAGCAAAGGTTAGTTTTTTACTCAATGAAAAAATCTAATCCTATTTCTAAACTTAAGACAAGGACTGTAAAACACCAGTAATTTATAGGAATTAATTTCCTTTTGTACTTACTGTTGGGAACAATACTGAGGAAATTTTCCAGTTTTTATAAATTTAAATGCATTACCTCTTGTGATATGCGTTTCTTTAGTTTGATGAAATGCATTTTTTTTTCCCCATTTCCACTGTGCTTTCAACTGAATGTTTTTCTCATGTTCCCCATGAGGATATTTGGTACAAATTCCTTAATTAGTTCCCTGCTCGGGCAGATACAGTGATTTGTATTTGAGATTATGTATATTTATTTTTCTCAACAGTCTGGCATTCAGAACAAAAACAGATTGGTAATAGATAAATATTTTTGTGTTTAAAAAGAAAAAATAAAAAGAGATTTACAATAAACTAATTTTTTTTGAAAGAGTCACTCTTTTCTACTCCTCTTGTACTTCACAGAATATTTTTTTCCTCCTAGGGAGAAGATGACTTTAAAATAATAGAAATGAAAAGGGAACAAATAAAACAATCTTGCACCCTTTTTTCCAAATTATGCTTACATTTTTTAGCAGCTCCCATTAGAGCTGTCTTCAGGATGCTGACATGGAAACTGTTCAAATGAGAGGTTACAATCATATGTCACATTATGTTTATCATATGGCTCAGTAGCTACTGAGATGACAGTAGCATATTGCAAACTACTGCAGACTTCTCAATTGGATGTTTCATAAAGAAAAAATAATAACTCATTCAAATATCCCAAATTTGTTTATTCTGTGTAAAATAATTGTAAGAAATAAGCCAAATATTTAACTGTCCTGTTTGATATATATATATATATATATTTTAACAGTATCAAGGAGAGAAGGAGTCTGAACTAGCAGAACTTAATTCACTGGAACAGAAGTTTCTTTCTGCACAGCAGTGGAAAATGGATTACAGAGAACAAGCCAAGGTAAGCTTTCTTGCCAAAATCTGCCCATAGGTTTGGCAAGGAAGAGAGTTTAGGAGCTTCCAGTTCTTGAGTGTAGGAGTGTGCTATGACAGCATTTTGAGCTCCATCTCAAAGCAGTGACAGGCCATGCTCACCCTCTTCTTTACTGTGGAGCACAGAAAAGAAATGTGGGCAAAGAGGAGCCTGTTTGGTGATCAAAGTATCAGTGCCTCACACCTTACCCCAACAGTCACAAGGAATTGTAATTTCAGATGTTCTGGTATCTGTTCTTCCTCTTTGTTTCTTTAAATCATTGTGCTATTAACCTTTTCACCAAGAAAGTTCTGCCAGGGCTTAAAAAGAAATTCTGTAGAACATTTGTTTCAGTGGTTCCTGGGTATCATTCAGAGAGAGAGATGTGCCAGATTTTTGAAGGATGTGGTGCAAACCCAGGTCGGGGCTGAAAATGTATGAAAATGCAGCTAAAAGTTGGTGTCTGCAGTTTGGGATGACATCCAAGGTGGTTGGATTATTATTATTACTAAGGTGGTATTATCACCCAATGGTATTATGTACCTGTCAAGTTCAATTTTAAGTGATAAGGTGTGGAAAAACAGTAGATTTCACTTTTGTGAATCTTGCTGACACATCAGTCAGTAACAGTCTGATAATGAGATTTGGTCAGGTAAGGAACCTAAGGTTTAATACCCTACAGTCTTGAGGACACAAGGATTTTCTCTTTGTCTTGTGTATTGCTTACTCCTTTTAAAGTCTCTGCAGAATAACTTCACAATCATAGGATAAATCATGTTAGAGAGGACTTGTGAAATTCCTGTAGTTCAACCTCCTGCACCAAGCAGGGTAAAGTCTGAAGTTAAATCAAGGTTTTCAGTTGGGTTTTGAAATGTTTAAAAGCTGGAGGTACCACAGCATCTTTGACAGCTTTACCACTCTCACTATAACAATTTTTCTCTGAATGCAATTGGCATTTCCCTGTTACAGTTTGTGATCATTGCCAGCTGTTGCATATGGATGTTTTTGGCAAACTAGAACTAGTGATTTTAAAGTAAATCTGATAAAACACTGGTAGATGGTGGGAAATACCAGAGTTTCTGTTAGTCTGTTGTTAAGATTATTTAGGGCAAAATAAATATATAATATCAAGTACTGAGTTTCCACATCTATTTCTGAACAATTTCAGTTTAGATGAAGACATGTGTTTACAATTTACCATGAAATTTATCCTTTTTCTCCAAAAAAGTGCTGTTACTTCCAAGAATGTGGTTATAAAAGTGAAGCTCTCTTTTAAGTGCAAAGATTTAAAAAAAAAGAAATCAGATGTCTTATTACTGAAAATTGATCAGTCTTTTATACAGGAATTTCCAGTGCACTCAGCACTCCCCTATCGTTGCTTTGTTTGAAGTCAGTGGGAATGCTGATGGAAGTGGTTGGGAATGCAATCCTGTAAGTGCTTTTGCTTTAAAAGATACATTTTCCTTTGTAATGCAACTTTCAGTAACATGGGGTTATTAATCTTCACAGCAAACAGGAGGGCAGTGTTTCCTTGATATTCTATTTTATGGATGAAAAAAATTCCATTATGGGTGATAAATTGATTCCAGGAGCCAATGTTAGGCTTACTTTTGGCATTAAGTGGCATTAGTCTGCCACAGATTTTTTCTTTACAGCACTTGTAGGAATGGCCAAGTGTTGATTTGAAAATAAAATTATTTTAAAAAATCCACTAATCTAGGATTTCACATTCCTACCAGGGGTTTCTGCAGCAGGAGAATTGATGCTAGTAAGGGAGAGGAAATCCTCAGAGGCAGAGAAAGGAGGAGTAAATATGTTGCAGTAGAGGCTCTTAATCAGCTTTATTGCCAGTGTAGGAGTTTTCAGTTTTCTTGGCAGAATCTGATCTGAGACCCACCTGCCTCTTCCCATCTGCACCTTCCTCGTTTCTGTTCGCAGTCATTTTATTCTTCCACCCCTCTCTTGTTGCAGGTAATGAATTCATTGCTTTTGTGGAGCACCCACTGATAAATGGGTATAAACAGCAAGTGTGAGGTGGGCAGAAGCATCTTAACACATGAATATCAAAGTAAACTTTTTTTTCCTGGCATAAGGATAATAAACCAGGTGGTGTTAGAATCCTGTTTAGATGAAGGTGTGAATTTGTCACTATATTTGTCTTTCAGAATCCTCCTTTTTCTTGTAATAGCACTGTGCAGTATACCTCTATCCACTTTTCTTTGAACTCTTCTTTAGTGGGAGCATTACCTCAAATGTGATGGGACTCCTGACCCCACTATACCTCAGGAGATCAACACTTTCATGAGCTTGTGGCGTGACGACCAAGATGTGGACGTTCAGCTTGTGATGGAGAAAGAGGAAGTGGTCCTAAATGTAAATGTTAAAATTATGTATTTCAGTTTAAGCTTAACATATCCTTAACAGCCTCCTCTATTTTCCCTTTTTTCGTGGCCAAATGACTGAAAGACCTTCAACACCTAAAGGTTTTTCTTCAATTTTTCCATTTTTCTTTAATTACAGATTTATTGTTAACCCTGTAGAAGATGTGTATTGACTTTCAATATGCATTTAAAGGATTTGTGTGCTGTGTTTCTACACTGAGGACTAGCATTCCAACACCCATATTCCTTTCCATTTTAAACCACAGCATACAATCTCCCGTCAGATATAAATGCTTTGGTGGACAACAGCCTCATTTTGTAACACTTGAGCCAGTAAAATGCCATGTAAGAGCAAAAGTTCCCAGAACTGATTTTTACCAACAAAAGTCACCAGCCATTCATAGCTTGTGAAGCGATTTTAAGCAATCTTTGTCTGCTCTGTAAATTTGGGATTTTATTTTCAATTATGCTGACTTTCTGTGGCTTTTCAGAAAGGTAAATGGGGTCTTCTAGAAAGTGGTGTTGGGGGGGAAGTTTAATGTGTAATACAAGTTTTACTGAGCTGGTTAGGTTGTAAGTTAGATTTCCTATCTGTCTATAAAAAAATAAAAAAGGTTATTTTTGTGACCAAAATCTGTTTAGGTACAAGGGAAGTAGGTTTGCCTCATTTTTTGTGACAGAACACACAGTATATTAAGGATGGTGTCAAAACAGATACTTTTCCCATGTAAATGTCTTCCAGTTGATTGAGAAGTTGGAGTTTCTTCTATTGGAAGCATCACCAGATGAGATCACAGAAAAACAACGAGACCAGTACCAGGAATTTATTTTGCAATTGCAGGTTCTGCTTCATCAGAAGTACAATGAGGCTACTCAGAACCTGCTCAAAGTGAGTGAGCAAACTTCTGCTTCAAAATTGTGATATGTGCACATAAGTTTAACTCCAAGTGTCCTTTAATGATAGTTTGCTTTGTTTGATCCTAAACTGTCACAGAGACGAGTCTATGAGTTTTCAAACCATGCTTATAGCACTCAACAGACTTTGTAATTATTCAAAACTCCTGAAAATCTGAACTTTACAGTGGAAAATCTGATCATTAAGTCAGACAAGAATAAACTACTGGGAAATTTTGTGAGATTTGGAGATAATGGAAACAAGAGGTGCTGTATGAAATTTGTTGACCAAAAATGTAGATGTGAAAAGCAGCTCATAAGGTTGCCGTGTACACATTTTTTTAATGCAAGTTCATGTGATTGAAGTATTTTTTTAAACTAAGATCCGGGGAAAGGTGAAGAGTACTCAAACAAGGAAATGAAATTGTTCTGGGGAGTCGTTTTTTGAGCTGCATGTGTAGGTAGGGACCTTGCTATTTCAAGGATATTAATCATGTATATAAAATATGTTTAGCAAGGGAATATTAGTGAAATAGTGAACCAGTTGTGTGTGCACAGTCAGAACCCCCTGCAAATTAAGAAATGTTGAATTCTTGTTTAGTGAATTTAGGATTAAGCTCCCAATGTAATTATTATTTCACAAGTTTGATGTTGCCTAAATGATAAAATAATCCGTGCAGTGACTCTGGAGTAAGAGTCCATTATTGCTCAGTAAATCCTTTGTTTGTTGGTTTTTTATAATTTATCCCGAGAATTTGGGAAATAATGGAAGAATTCCTATTTGGCAGTACATGGCTCAGAATTTATGAAGTCAGAGAGAGAAAAGGGAATGTAGTTCAAATTTTAAGAAACAGATTTGAGTTGGACTTGGTCTGGTGTATTTTCATTCTTACATGTATTTATTTATTTATTTATTTATTTATTCAAGATAAATCAAAGTGAAGTAAATAGAACATTATTTAATTGGCTTTTTTCTTTGTAGGCAGCTAGTATGTATGAAGATTTTGAAACTGGGAATATGCACACAGTCATAAAGGATAAAAATACTACTTTCTGTATTTGGGCCAATCTGAAGAAGAAAGCAAGGTACAGCACACAAATTATTACTTTGAAATGAGGCCTGGCTTTGTTGAATAAACACCAAGAATCAGTTTCTCACCATATTTTTTTTTGTTGAATAGCATTCATTCTGCAGACTCTCAGTGCTGGCTGTTGCTAAGGAGTGGTTTAGAGATATATAAATTTCTTAAAATGCAACAGCAGAACCCTGTCACTGCCAGAAGAAATTTGGAAGAAAAACAACGCTCATGCAGAGATTTGAAATTCCTCTGGAAGCAGTGTTTCTTGCTGATGCATTTCATATTTTCTAAGTTGTTCCAGTTGCTTGCAAAGCAGTGAGTGATACTTTGTGCTCAGTTAAGAGAAAATATTTTAGAGCTTGGGATGCACTTTCATTCATGAAGTTTTGTGTTTTTATTGGATTACCATTTAAATGGTACATTTTCAAAATGAGATTTTTGAGCAGACTTCCTACTCCCACTCCATAAATATAAGAAATAAGTTATTAAAAGGACTTTAGCTTGACTAAGGACCTGTTGCTGTGAGTTTTGTTAAGTAAAAGGGTGGGTGCTGAGCAATGTCAGACTGACCTGCAGGAAGAGCCCATGTGAGTTAAGTGTTAAAGCCTTTTGGCCAGTAGAGAGATGCACTTAAAATACTCAACTAACAATTAAAAGCTAAATGTTGCTTTACTAGAAGATTTTTAGAACTTGTGACCAGCCTATCTTATCCAAAAATAAGTATTATTTGAATTCTTTTGAAAGGCGCTGAGAGTGATGTAACACAGACAGCTGTGCAGGGATTTTCCCAGTAAATTAGTCCATTTTACCAGGAATGTAATTCCTAGAAGAGCTGCCATTTGATCCTGCCTCATTGTCATCCTGCCAAGGCTTATTTTTGAAACTTCTGATCCCCTTGATGCAACTGTGGCTTTGCTGGAGGCTCTTACAGAGACCTGCCTGCACAAGCACGGTGACATCCCACATTTCTCAGGAGGTGCAACAAATCCCAAAAGAGACTTGAACCTTTTGTGAGGAAACACCAAATGAAGTGCTGCCAATCTTACCAGTGCCTGTTGTTGCTGTTGTTGTCACTGCCCTTCCCAGGTTCAAGAACCACATGTTCCAGGAGGTGGGGCATGGCTTTGACCTGCCCAAATCCCTGGCTCTGAGCAGTGTGGCCATTCGCGTCTTGCACACCTGCTACGACCACGTGTCTCCCTTGTGGGTGCACTGCCAAGGGCTGCCGAGGCCAGAGGCCTCAGACAGCGAGGAGTTAGCTGAGCATCCAGAAGACACTGGGCAAGAACCAGGAGAAGAGGAGAAAGGCATTAAAGAGCCCAATGTGCCTGCTGCAGAAGAAATATGTTCTACAGGGAGGAAGGTGGGTAAAAATCCTCAAAGGATATCCCACACTGCTCTTGTTAACTTGAAGCTAAGTCACAGTGTCCTGTGCAGGACAGCCAAATCCTTAAATGTTTCTTTGGAAAAGACAACTTCTGTCAACAGTGTAATAGATCTTCTCAAGGGAATGGAAAAATGGAAAGTAGAAAGGGAAGTTTGGACAGGGTGTGCAATTGGCATTTGGTTGGTGGTTTAAAAGTAGAATCAAGCATGAAGTGCCATTGCAAAATATTTCTATAAATTTCTGGCATATGTACAGATGAATGGATTCTGCTTCTTCAAAGCAGACATCCCCACAAAATTCCTTGCAGGAATCCAATTTCAGGAAAATTTGCAGTGTGCAGAGTAGGATTCAGAGTTCAGCAGGTGTTGGCTGTGCAGGTGTGTGGCTGCTCCATGTCTGTATGCTGACCCTTTGTTTTTCAAAGGGCTTTTCCAATGCTATTTCTGGCTGCCTGTGCTCTTCCTCAGCTCTCTTCCAGGGAATATGTTTGCTTTAGGCGTGATGGAGGTAGCTTGGTTTTGTGTTGTCCGTACTGCATTTGGGGTTTTCACTTTGTGTATCATGTGTGACTTTCAAGTAAATGCCCTGTGTTCACTACCTAAAATTTCTGCAGAAATAAACATCAAGTTTCTTCTTAGTATGTTTGGAGCAATTTCATAGGATGTTCTGAGTGAAAAGGGGCCCACAAGCATCCTCGAATCCAACTCTTAGGTGAAGAAATTCTGGAATCCATATAGGGAACAAATGGGGATCAAACCTCTGTTCATGATCACGGTTTTTCTCCTTTTCAGTCCCCAGCACCTTTGTAATGAATCAGTGCTTGAAATCCTACTTCTCTTGGTTCCTTTTTTTCTTTTTTTTTTTATGACAAATCTTATCTTTTGGCACTTTTCACCTATATTTCTCAGACTTCCTTTAGGCTCCTTCATTTTATTCCTTCTCTTCTTCTTTCCCAGGTCTTGCACTCTTTCTCTCAATCCATTCTGTGACTTCTTTTCTAAAGGCTCCACTTGTCTCAGCTTCTGTCCTCTCACCTCCTGTCCTGTTTGAGGAGATGTGTGTTATTCCCACGTGCTGGCCTGCAGAGCCAGGGCACAGAAGGTGGTGTGCCTCCAGAGGAGTCTGCTGTGGCATGGATGAATCCCTGTCTGGGTTGGATATTTGTCTGGAAATACAAGGGAATGTGTTTCTCGGCATCCTCCTGTCTGGCTGTGCCTTGAGCTCCCCCACATTTATGTGTGGAAATATAGTGAAATACAGTGTGAAAGGGAATAAATATTATGGGCCAGGCATGGGCCAAAGCTACTGGTGTGTTCTGGCACAGTTTCAGTGTTGGCTTGCATTCAGCCTCAACTTGCATTTTACTTTGTGCCACTCTGCTGGCTGTAAAATGAGCAAAACCACAACTTTTGAGTGCACACTCTGCTGATAAAGTATTGGATGCTTGTTTGGTACTCAGGGACATCAAGATGGAATTTGCTGTGGAAATTAAGTAATTACTTTGTCACTATTTATAAATCCAGTTCCAAATTAGAGAGTACCTTTAATCAAAATATTTTTGCTAGCTAGGTAGAAATTATTTCTCTTAAAACCTTGACCCTGTAGCAAGATTGGTACAACTGTTTCTGTATCCCTTCTCCTTGGGCGTCCTTGAAGGAGGTGATACTTTCTTCTCTCTGACTAATGGAAAAATGTTTCTTGCTTTTTGTCTAGGAGAGTGCTGCCTCACTGAAAGAAAATAGCAATAACACAGATGATATAAAAGAGACAGAGGAGGAAACTGAGATGAATGCAGACGTCTTGGATGTAACATCACAAGGTATTTGTTTATTTTTTACATGCAGCACTACAAAAGTACTTATTAGTATTTTATGTATTAAAAATTGTTCCCTATGAGGGTGGGGAGGCCCTGGCACAGGCTGCCCAGAGAAGCTGTGACTGCCCCACCCCTGGAAGTGTCCAAGGTCAGGATGGATGCGGCTCTGGAGCAACCAGGGATAGTGGAAAGTGTTCAGGGGGCTGGAACTGGACTTCAAGGTCCCTTCCAACCCAGGCCATTCCCTGATCTGTGGAAACACTGCAATATCTCCATGTGAATGTACTGAAGTTTATAAATATAGGAATGTTTTGATAACACTTGAGTTTTGTTGACATTTCTATTAATGATTGGGTTTTTTTTCTAATAATTTCTATACATTTCTATTTTTTCAGTCATTTCTATACATGATTGTATCATGTGGGATGATAACAGGACAGGAAAATGGAGTTCATCCCCACACTTATTTTATTTATTATTTATGCTTATGTACATGTTTATCATGTTTATATAGATATGTGTATTATTATACATATGTTTATGGGTGGGACACACAATCTTTATGAATCTGCCAGGCTCTGGGGAGATTTACTGCCTCAGAAAATGATGATTCAAATGCATATTATGGTATGCATTGGTGTAGTGTGGGGTGTTACTGAGCATTACCTAAATGGCTGCTTAAAGTGAGAGGGCCTAATTCTAGGAAATAAAACTGTTTGTCTGTCCACATAAGTTACACATTTCTCCAGTGTTGTGGTGTGGTGCTTTGGTTTAATAAGAGTGAATTTTCTTGTGGCACTGACTTAAATAAAACAACTGCAAACAACTATTAGCATAATTTAGCTCTACTTTACAGCCTTTTTCTTCTGGTAAAAATACCAAAGCCCAGCCCACAACACTTTGGACTGAGCATGTAGTCCAGAGAACCAGTTGTCAGATTAGAACCTAAAAGCAAGGTTTTCAAGAGAATATAAAGGACTTGGGCCTCATGTGGAGGAATTAGTATTTTATTTCTGCCACAGTATTAGGTGAAGTGGGTGTGCACAGATACCAATTATACCTGAGTATTTTCCAGCTTGTTCATCTGTTTTAATAAGGAAAAAACTGTTTTTTCTGGCATGCTCATGATTTGCAAACCCTTTCAATCACTTTTGAGAATAGCAGTGAAAGATTGCTCAGTTACCTTAAGTTCAAAACAAGGAGCCAGGTAAATGAGGGTTAAAAAACAGAAATGCAACAACAGACAAGAGTGACAGTTTCTTTGGATTTACCCTTATTGTACCATTGTTAAAGAGATAAATTACCTGGGGACAATAAATAGTTTCTTTAGAGGATACTTACATATTTTTGTATCATTATTTTAAAAAACAAGTTAAAGTGTAAGCTACCACTGTAAAATGCAGTAAAATGTTTTTACTTCTGGTAAGTTTGTTGTTCAGAATAACTGCAAAAGGACATTATGATGGTGTGTGATACAGTAGAGTCAAACCTCTGCAGAATGTAACTAAATCTGACATAAAATTAAGACTAAAATACAAAATTTTCACTTTTTTTTTTTTTAAGCTTGAAGAGAATTTATAAAGAGAGTTGTCATTTTTTTATATGGTCTAATTCTCTCAGAGCAAATTTTGTAACAATTTCAGTAGCTGTTTTTACAGTACTGAACGCTTTATCTTGATTCCTGTTGACAGTAGCTTCTCTCCTCCTGTACCATCTTGTGTGATGTTTGATGTGGGCTGGTTTGTTTTTTTCTTAAAGAAAATATTTGTGGTCATTTTTGTCCACAGTGTTTCTGCCTTTTACTATCATTTTCCAGCTAATTATACCTTAAGTTCATACATATGTGAAATATATGTAATTATACACAAAAAAGGAATTATCTTTGTTATCTGAAAATTGTGTTTAATGTTAAATCCCTCTTGCTCTTCATAATTACCATGTCTTTCACCTTCAGCACATGACCTTTTAGCACCTTATTTTTAGATACCTTTTTATCTGCTTAGTTTCTTTTAATATCAATATAATCTTACAAAACCTGCCCAGAATCTACTGTATTACTGTGCTTGTGAAACTCTTGTGCATGTAACAATGGACTCATTTTGTCAGTAAAACCTTATTCCTATAGAAAACATTTGGCACTGGCCACAAATTCAAAAGCCCCAAATCAAGAAGCGCTTTTCATTGCCCAGCTCTCTGCCTTTCCCCACATTTCAGTGATTATTGAAGAGCACCAGCAGATGGGGCTGAAATGCTGCCTCCTGGAGCACTTCCAGCACACAGAGTGAAGATGAAGAGAGGTGGGAAATGCTGAGTTTGAGCACCAGGTTAACTCCTGCTGTCCGGTGAATTTTTCAGAAGCGGATGCGCTGCTGCAGGAGGAGGCAGGAGGCAGAGAAGAGGCACCCAGAGCTGTTGATTTGCAGCAGCTGCTGCCCCTGGGGGGTGTGTACCACATCCATGCCCTGCAGCTGCCGCCCCAGGCCCGGGACGTCGGGGACTGGAGCATGGTGGAGGTGAGGGAGGAAAGGGATCAGCCCCTGGTGCCCTGGCACCCCTGAGGAGCCGCTCCTGAGGTTTGTCACTGCTGGCACACGCACTGGACACGACTTCTGAGCGGCAAACCAACGAGACGAGGTTTGCAAAGCATCAGATTTTCACGTGTGAAAGGTAAAAGCTGGTACCAAAAGCACTGCTGGTTCAGCTGCAGGCTCTTCAGGCTGGCTGAGGGCTGCAATCGCTGTGTTCTGGTTTCCTCTAGTGCTGAGCTACCCCACAGGTTGCACTGTGACGCTGGAAACTTTCAATAATCGCAATTCCCAATAAGCCAAACTCAGAGAGCAGCACTGTGGGCAGGGGAGCAGCCCAGGATGTTCATTCCCAGCCCCCTGGGACCTTCCCTCTGACACTGGGAGTGGAATTACACCTGCTTTTGCCTCCCAGCTGCTCCTGGTTTCTGAGGCTGTGCTCTGTTAAAAAGGGCTGTGCCCACACGGGGGCACTGGAAGGGTTCCAAAGCCTCGTGGTAGCTACTCTTCTACTGCCTTCAAAGTTGTACTTGGAAATGTGCAATATTAGTAAACTCTTTGAATGGTGCATTAAAAAACTCCGCAGTAGTTAGATGAACTCATATAAAAAATCCTGCATTTTCTGATAAACCCCTTATCCGTCCTTTTCCTGTCTTGCCGAAGCTGCTGGATGTTGGATTGGAGGTGCATCCATATTCCCCAGGAGAGGCTGAAGATGGCACACAATTTGCTGTACAGATAACCCTGAAGCTCCCTGATAATGTGATTTATTTTAAAGTGCCTGTGGTAGCCCGATGGGATGCTGCAGGTACGAACTTAGGACATAAATTTATTTTAAATTTGAAGAGTGGAATTTATACCCAAGTTGGACTGTTGTCACAATCCAGCTGTAAAGATAAGGCTCCAGTTTGGAGCCCAGAAATAGTTGGGGGACTTCAATGTTAATTGATTTGGGGATTTTACATTTTTTTTGTTATTAGTTTTTTTGGTTTGTTTTACTTCAGCATTGCTGCCAGAAGCCTTCCATGTACATCAGTGTATCATTGCTTCCTTTTTGTCCAGGCCAGCAGTGGAGAACTGATGGCATCAGCGAGATAACATATGAAGCAGAAGAAAAGAGCATCACTTTTGGGATGGGTGCCTTTTATACAGTAGCCCTTTTCCAGGATGCTCACCTGAACCTGCCCTATCAGGCCTGGGAATTGCACCCCACTGGGGTGGATGAAGGACTCTTCACAGTTACTGCAGCCTTTGCAACCATTCAGATCCAAATTAAGGTACTATCAATATTTTTTAAAATCAAACATTTGCAGTTCAAAAATCCCATAATTATTACAGTGTCCCCGAGTAAGAATTAGGGATGTTTCCACAAGAGTAATTTGAATCTCTCTTCCTTTCCAAGCACTGTGCTGGTTATTTAATTTCAGTTATTTACTATGAGAAAGCATCTGTGCATTTGCTCTGAAAAGTTTCAGTCAGTGCTTTGCTGCTGGTGCTGCCTTGCTGCATTCAAGCCTGTTCTACCTGTTAGAGACCTAAAAATTGTTCCTCTCCTCTCAGCTCTACCAGGTGAAGTTAAAGCATTTCTAGCAGCCTACTACTAATGTTCCTTATTGCTTCTCAAACTTCAAGCTACTCATGATTACCCATCTGTTCACTGCTGTACAAATCAGTACACCAGTCTAATTTCTGAATTCCTACACAAAGCTGGCTCTCTTCAGGATCTGTAAATGAAAGGTCACAGCCCAGAGTAGCAGATGATGTGGGTAATAGCCAGCAAAGATATCAATATTTGAAGCCTAAACCAGAAAGCTATTTCCATGACTAGTAAGTTGCTTTCACTGGTTTGTACAACAGGATAATCAGTGTATGTTGTCTTCAGTAGTGGTGGAAGAGGAGGAGGTGCTTTCCCACATGACAGGAAAATGGATGAGTCCTTTTGCCCTCAGAGCAGCTTTGAAAAGAGCTGGAGTGAACATTTTCCCAGCAGAGTACTCTCCCAAGTATGTCCCTGTGCCCAGGAAGGTGAGTGCCAGAGTTTCCTGGTGGTTTTCCCTCCCATTTTTCACTCAGGTCACCCTTTCCTGCACTGGGAGCTGCTGTGCTGCCAGCTGAGCCAGGGACTGAGTACAGCAGGCCCTGACATTGCTGTAACACAGGGAAATAGAGCAAGTTCTGTTTTGTCTGATTGCTACTTGTGCACTGCAGGCTGCCCTGGCAGAAGTGAAGGCCTATGAGCAGATGGCTCTGCTTGCAGCTGCTTTTGCTTTTGCTCACAGCAAGTGGAATGGAGAAGCAGGGCCAGAGCGAGTCGTGTTCAAGGTTTGTGGAGTCAGACCAAACTTCCAGAGCAGGCCAGCACTGACCCCTTCCCCAGCCAGACAGAAACAATGAACTCACCTGTGGTGGCTTCAGCCCCTGCAGTGTCACAGACTGCACCTGAGAGAGCTCTCAGGAGACACAAGTCTCAGCAGCAAAGACACTTGCTAAGGAAAACAGAGCTGATAAATCACCAAGGGAGGCTTTAGCCAGAGCTGGGGTGACAGAGCTTCATGCTCTTCAGAGGCCTCTTGAAAATCAGCAATCTGCTTTGCCACCTTTTTAAAGAACAGCTGGAAATTCCTTCCTGCCTGTAGGGTTTCTTTTGCTCCCTACTGCAGAGGAGGGAATAAGCAACCTCAGTGTTGATTTGTCTCCACCTGTGAACTAAAACACATGGTTAAAACTTCTCCCAGCCAGACAAACACTCCCACGTGTGGCTGGAGAAAGGTAACACACCCCACTGCTGAAAGCTGGAGTGGCTTTCTCACTCTCAGGCTAAATGCATGTGGCACACAAATATTAGAATTTGTTCTCTGACAGTGGCACAGGCTTCACCTCACGGTGCATTTTTTCCTGCCATAGGCAAGTGAACATCTTACAGTGGGTTCTGCCAAAGACAACAACTGGTCTCTTTATATGTTCAATGGTGAGAAAGTACAAAACCTCAAGCTCACTGAAACCAGTGAAGCTTTTACAGAAGAGCTGAAAGAAGAGTCTGAATTTCACTCCACACTCCACCATATGCTCAAGGCTTCTGCCAGCAATGAAGCCATGGATAAAGTGGAAAGAGCTGGCTTCCTGTTTATTGATTCTGTGTATCAGCTGCTCCTTGCTACCAGAGTTTTAGCATACTCTTAGATACGGCAAGTTTTCCTTCAAAACTTTATTATCACAAGCTTTCAAAAAAGTTACATTTCAAGTCTTAAATCCTTTTCTGTTCAAATCACTGAAACAGGTTCTAAAATGCAAACATTTTATCTTTGTTCAAGCAAAATAAATTCTTTATTCTCTTGTGGCTAGACCACCTAGACGTGTTTATTGTTAACAATGTTAAAAATTGCTGTTCTATTGTAAACCTCAACAGAACTGAGACCTTTTTAGCTACTTTTAAAGATAACTTTTGCCAGAATGAGAAGAAAAATACTTTTTTTTTAAAATTTCAAGTCATGCTTTAAAGAAAAAAAAACTAATCTCCTCCCCAAAACCCAACCCACAACCCAACAAAAGAAACCCAGACACGTAACCTTAAATCAAGGGCAGCCTCAGCTCCTGTCCGGCAGAGCGTGGCAGCGCAGCTCCGGCAGCGGAGCCGGGGTTATACCGGGGGAGGGCCGTTGTGTTGCAGTCCTGTGTAGGGCCACAGCAGCTGCTGCACCAGTGTCCAGGAGTCCCCAGTGCCCACAGGGGCTGCATCTGCTGGCCTCTGTAGGGACAGCCCCATCAGGAAGCTCGTGAGAGCAGCCAGCAGGACCAGCATGGACACGGACACCCAGAAGGTTTTGTTAGCGTTGCTGAAGGAAGCCTTGAAGTGGGATGCCCACGCTGCCATCAAATTGTACCTGGGCAGGGCAGGAAAGCACAGAGCCCTTCAGTGTTTCTTCAAAACATGAAACTCATCCCATCCCACCCCCAAAAGCCCTACAGCAAACTAGATCCCATGAACATCAAAAGTGACAGGTTGTTACTGTCTTGGGAGCTGTGCAGGGGGAACTTTGGTTCTGGGTTTAAAACACAGTCAAGGAAGCAAATTCTTGATAAGCTGACCCCTGTCAGCAGTCCACCCGTGCTCCTCACACTGGGTTCCCAGAGAGCATTTCCCAGTCACTGGTCACTGCCCACAGTGGTCAAAGGAGAAAAGATCCTAGGGAAGCCATAAAGTCTCCACTTGCTCCTTTTTTTCCTGCCAAGTACCCTGGAGTGAGTGCAGCGATCCCTGAGGATGGAGAAAGGTTTTGGATGAGCCCATTTTCCAGAATGATCCTTGTTTGAAGGTTTGTCCAGTATTTGGTGCTTTTGTCCATTTCATGTGTGTTTTTCTTTTTAATGGATGTTTGAGTTCTAGGACACTAAGCTTAAAATTAAAAAGGCAGTTCCTAGTGTATGGCATTATTTTTTATTATATTTTTTTAAATTTTGTTTTGTGGAAAAAATTAATTTTCTTTTCATGCTTTGTACTTCAAGATAGACAGAAGCTCTATTGACCCTCCCACACCAAGTATTTCAAGTGTACAGTAGTTAATTGGATTAGTTGTTGTGTGAAGAATAATACTTAAATCTGTTGTTACTTCTATTGGTACACTTAAAATTTGGTGTTCCTGTGTACCTGGGGCTTTGGCCACACTTGTGGAGATGTAAAATAAGCACTTGGATTGCTCTGGACACATTATGGGAAATGTGTGTTAGGAGAAACCCCCTGTGAATAAACTGCTCTTCTGTTGTAGAGATCTGCAGCAGTGCTGGGTTTGGGAGAGTGGTTGAAGGGTTTGGGAGAGCAGGGAATGGACAAGTCAGCTCTAGTAGGTTGATGTCTGTCTCCTTTTATTTACAGAATATAATAGAAATGTAACCCAACTGTGAACCCAAAATCTGTGGCAATAATTAATAGCAATAGCTGTACCTTTTTCTCTTGAGGTCACTGGCAAGCATGGAACAAGAACTGACCCAGAACTTCTTGCTGGTGCCCTGGCAGAGAGAGAAGCAGCAATTGGTGTTGGGAGAATTTCTGTTAGTCCTGTGAGATCATGACTTCCTGAAAAACTTCAAAATTAGTCTGAATAGGAAAACATGGATTTTTGACACATAAACCTCACATGGAAAGTGACACAAAGATGATTTGATGAGAGATTTGTTGAAGCACAGAAACGTGCTGATGTATTCTCAAACCTTTCCCCTTTTGTGCCCCACTGTGTGGGACAAGACTGAAGAGAGCCAGAGGAGTGGCCTCTGGCTGGAGAGAAAGGCACTGTGGGCACCTCCCTGGTGTCACCAGGGCACCTGTAGGGAACAAAATGGACACTGGGAGGGCAAGTGGAGGTGAGTTTGGGGACAGTTTGGGGCAAAATCCAAGTTCATCTGCAGGGAAAGAAGTAGGGGATATTTTGGAGGGAAAAGCTGAGGTGATCATCCAGCTCAGCCCAAGTTGTGTTTGCACAAAGTGGGACCAGAGGTGAAGGTCAGTCCAAAGCCAGCCCTGCTCAACCTCTAGGTCCCAGAATAAATTCTACAAGCTGCCCATTGAGGGACTAAAAATACATAAAAATGGAACCAAGATTACTAAGAAGGCTCATGGGAATCCCATTACTGCGTTGTCATAGCCTTTTTAACAGATCTTTAAGCTTTTTATGACAACACTGCATTTCTCCGTTGGGATTATTCACTCCGTGGGCTGTGGGGTTTATTTGGATTTAAACTCCCTCACAGTGGCCCTACACTGCTCAGGAGCTGGGAGGAAAAGCAGTCAGAGCTCCTGGCAGGGGCAAGGTGTTTTCCCCCAGAGCAGATCCAGCTGCTGCCCACAGCCTGGCCAGGAGGGATCTGCTTTGGCTCCTGTCTTCTGCAAGGAAAGAATGTTCTCAGTCGATTCAGCTGAGATTCCAGCAGCCTCATCTCCCAGCAATTCCTGGGCAGCCAATCCACCCTCCCTCATCTCCCACCCAGCCAGGGCCAACTGTGTGGAGGGAATTTGTCCCACCAGCAGCAGGGGAAGGACACCAGCTCCCACCCTTGGACTTGGAATGTCCCTCTGGGGGATGCTGTGGGCTGGGATTTAGATCATTCCATACATTTGGCTGCTGAAATTTCCCAGCCCATGGGCTTCAGCTGACAGGACAGCACAAAGATTGTTCTCTGTGTGGTGTCCAGATCTGGGGTTCAGTATCAGCTTTGCTAGTTCAGATGAATTATACCTGTAGCCCCAAATTCCTGCTGGAATAACCTGACAGTGCCTCATGGAATGTGGATATTCCTATGCAGAGCTGCCATTTTAACACCAGCTGTGTAAGGAACCAGCAGAGTTTCCAGGGAAGCTCAGTGGGATCAGGACAAAGACAGGTTTATAATCCATAGAATTTGCTATTTATATCACTCATTCCCCAGCCCCACCAATGTCCCTGGGGGACACTTGACAGAGTCCCCTGGAATTCAGCCAATTTCACCTCCCTGAGGTCAGGCTCCAGTTGATATTTTAAAGCAGGAGACAGCGGTGGCCACACACACTCCTGGCCAGTGCTGAGGCAGCCCCTGGGCCCAGGGGAGGTCATCTCTTCCTGCAGAAGCTGAGTTCATTTCAGAGCCTCGGGAGTGGCCTCTAGAAGTTCTTTACCCTGAGGAAACGGATGCACATCCCTGCTTTCAGCACACCTCCAGTGGTACCCTCCTGTGAAAGCTCTCCATCAGTTCTGTAGTTCCAGCTGGCTCCCTCAAAAACTCCAACTTTCATCCAAACAAAAGTTCATCCCACTGTAACCTTTTATTTTAAGGCATCTCTGAGGACTATTGCTCGGAGTTCATTTTCTGCATGAGGGAAGGTTCCCTTGGCTTTAATGCTGCTGATGGATGGTGTCCCTGGGCTGGAAGGGAAGGGATTTGGGGTGGGTGGCTCATACCTGGGGGCGTGTGGGAGCTCCAGGAGGTCGGCACTGGGAATTGCTGTCTGAGCCTCTCCACAAATGCACCGTGCCGACATTCCCAGGTAATGCCAGCTTGGGGTATTTTTGGGGTGTGGGTGGGGTCTGTCCGGGCTGAAGCATCTCCAGGTGCCCGTTTGGAGCAGCCCCTGGCTGAGGAGCCACTGGCAGCCCTTTATCCATGTCCATCCGAGCACTGCCCAGGAATCCCAGTGCCCATCCCCGGGATGTGCGCTTGGCACGCTGCGTGCCGCAGGTGGGACACTGCAGGCACAGCTCCTGCCCTGCAAACACCGAGGACAAGAGGTGCTGGTTCCCTTTCTGGGGCTGCCAGCCCCCTCCCAGACAGCTGGGACACACGGAGGAAACACCACGGAACTTTCCTGGCAGTGAGTGGGAGTCACCGAGGCCTCCGTGCAGCTCCGGGCCAGAAAAGCTGCCCCAGCACCTGCTGTGATTTTGGGCTGTGAACACTCACCTGCAGGAAACACCCCTCTGCAGGCGGGACCAGCCCTGACACTGTCCAGAAGAACTCTGGCCATGGACCAAATAAACCCTCAGGACTTGTCTTGCTCATTTCTTCCTGGAAAGGGACATGGAGTGAGTGCCTTTACAGCTGTTGGGTAAATCCGGGAAAGGGCAGGAAACCAGGATTACTGGAAGGGTTTTGTGCTGTCATGCCAAGTGCTGGTGTAGAAAGCAGCTTCAGCAGGAAAGAAGGAGCTGCATTTGAATAGGAATTCCCTTGCTGGTAGCAGCTATTCTCATCCCAGGCAGGACCTTCCTCATGACGAGATTAGCTCAGGTGCTTGCAGCAGGGTGCTGAGAAAGCCAAGATTCTGAATTCAGTCCCCACAAGGGGCAGTCACTCATCACCGTTTGACTTGATGATCCTCGTGGCTCTTTCCAAGTCAGAACCTCCTGTGCTCTGGAAATAAAGAGCAAACAGGTTTCACCAGCTTTTTAAACCCACAGGTTTTTCCGTGGGAGAGTGCGAGGCACAGAGAAAGTGGAGGAGAGCAGGGATAGCGTGCTGTCTCACCCAACAGGTGTCGGATGAGCGGCTGGAGCAGGACCGAGCCCCGGCGGGCTCTGGTGTCACAGCGGGCGCGGCCGGAGCAGGAGCGGCAGCGCCGGACTCAGCCCCAGGCCCGGAGCGGCTCCTGCCGCCCGCAGTGATCCAGCCTCGCTCGTTCGGACCGGGGGTGCGGGTACCGGGGAGGGGGAGGCGGGCGCTGCCCGGTCCGGAGGGCGCGGTGGCCTCTGGGGTGCCGGGGCGGGGGCAGCTCCGGGTGGAGCTGGGCCCGGAGCGCTCCGGGGCTGCGGGACCGGGCCCGCCCGCCAGGGGGCGCCGCGCCCGCCGCTCCCGCCCGCCAGGGGGCGCCGCGCCCGCCGC